TCGCGCTTGTCCAGCGGGGAGTATCGCGTGCCCTTGTCTGCCTGCGGCTGCTGGAGCCCTTGGCGGTCGTGCAAACCTCAGAACTTGCCGGTCAACGGCTGCCGAGCCGCGCGGTGCCCAGGGATATCCCATCAATCACTGCCGTCGGCCAGCCGCCTGCTCCGATCTGATACCCAAAGAAGCACGTATTTCCTCTAGAGCGAACCATTTTCTACCGCTAATGGTTCTCAGGTGTTTGCGTGCTTCAGACACCTTGCATCCGGGTTGTTGCCCCTTGGATAGCTTCCCAAGGGGCAGCTGAAGAGTAGACTCTGGTTTCATATAGCGGGACCTCAGTATTTCAGTAATTGCTGCTTGGTTTCGAACTTACTTGTTTTTATGTGCCGTGGCTGTTTGAGTTATTACCTTGGTGAGCTGCCTCTTGCTACAAGGATGACAATCCTGTAGACCCAGCCTACCATGTCTGTATGTCCACTGCAAGGATCTCCGAGTGTTTTGGTCAGACCTTCCATCATCAAGATGCTGCATAATTTTCTTGATACTTGGAGCATTTTAAGATAAGTTTTAAATTGTTGATACACAACAATAAAATGTTATTTCTCCTAGGAGTGTCATGTAACAACTTAAAATTTTCATGTGAAAACAGAAAATGGCTTCAAGAGGAACAACAGAGACCAGTAAACTAAAACAAAACTTGGAAGAGCAGTTGGATAGATTAATGCAGCAGCTTCAAGATCTGGAGGAATGCAGGTAATAAAAATAAATGCTTTCCTCTTATATGGTAATATTTTTCTTAAGTGGTTGGCAGAAGAAAGTGGTACCTTTCAAAAATCTTGTGGGGTTTTTTGTTTTATTTTGTGTTTTGCTGTGGCTTCATATTTTTTAAATTAGGTAGGATGTTTGTGTTAGGTAGTAAAAAATTATTTTAAAAAAACTTTCTTTTTATTAAGATCAGTCTATTTTTCATCTTCTTGAGGAAAATGTGGGCAGAAATACTCATTACTGTTTTCTTTGAAATTTGATATTTTGGTGTGACTCTTAGCTGTTCACAGAATTCACAATTTTCATATGGGCTTTTTTAATAGCAGTTAACAAATAGCTTTTGTGTCTACTTTGTTTTGTCTTATAATTACGGATGTTTGGGGTTTGGTTTTTTTTTAGTTTGTCTAACATTTTCATGTGATTTGTTTAATGTGATTTTGTGTTAGTTTTTTGTGGGCTAATAAAACTTGAGATAGACTGAATTACCAAGGAAAAGGGTTTTTTTCTGTTTCAGTACTTGCACTTAAACATCCTGTGTGGTTTTAGATGCTTTCTCTGACTATAATTCTAACTTGTCCAAGCAGTACATATGTTTTTCAAGAACAATTATAATTGCTAAGGGTTGGTAGTGCCATTCTTTGAATTGGGCAAGGTTTAGACAGCAGGATCAGTTATTCCTGAATAACTTGATGGTTTTTGGGTGAGGAGATAGGCTTCTCGGGTAATGTCATTCACCGTAGCTTTGAGCAAGACAATCTAACTGCATATTGTTGTGGAGATCCAAAATGCACTTTTAAATATTGCACCAAGTGTTGAGTATCTCGTAGTTGTCAGGGCCTTTTTAATACAAGTGACTTCATACAAACAACACAAGCACATGGGTGGCTAGGAGGTGGTGCAAAACCAAGAAAACTACATATGCATTAGCTAAATAACAGCTAAGAGGGCTAGAACAGAATAATCTGAAGTGATGTGAATGTTTTCATTGCTATCTGAGGAAGCATGCTTCATGATATTCCCTGATGTCCTTTTCTCCATGTTACGTCTTGGGTTTAGTCCAATGAATTAATATGTCTTGTTGGATCCTCTTTAGAGAGGAGCTAGATGCAGATGAGTATGAAGAGACCAAAAAAGAAACCCTAGAACAGCTGAGTGAGATCAATGACTCCCTGAAGAAGATTATGTCCGGAGATATGACTTTGGTGGACGAGCTCAGCGGGATGCAACTGGTAAGGATGATGTGTTACTAAAAATAGTTCATGTTCTGCCTGGCCTCAATGAAACAGAACATAGATACAAGTGGTTCGTTATAATTTTTAGACAGGCACGTGTGAAAGCTAGTTCTATGTATCTAATGTTTTTATTATTAAATATATGTGTACATATAAAAGCTTGGTCAGGTCTTTTCATTTTAAAAGAAAAAAATATTGAAGAATTATAACCATAACACTGTAGAAAAAACTGTGGGGAAACTGCAGGGACTAAATATATCAGATCCTTAATACTAGAAAATAACATAAAATAATGCAAATTAATTTAAAAGGTGTGAGTGACAGTCCAGGACAATATATATTGTGAGAAATAAAGTTCATACCTGTTTGTTAGAAAGCATAAAGATAGCATTTCCTGTGCTCTTATTGCTGATTTGTATTTCAGAGATTCATACCAATCCAAATGAAAAGGCTGTAGGAGTGACCATGTAACTTGAAGTTCTTTTAGTGAATTGATCTTATTTTATGCTGATGTCCCAACTTTTGATCTCTTTTCAAATGTTTAATTAGAGCATGTTTTGTTCCTTCTAAGCCCTATGTTTTAGGAGTTTGTTTCCAGAGGGATCATTTGTCCAAACATAATGTGGTGAGACTGAATCATAATAGTTTTGATACTCCGCAGAGAATTTTGAATAACAGTAGGAGATTTATCTCATGATTTACATTCTGCTTACCCTTAGAAGAGCTGTAATCATCGGTGTGGGCATTAAAACTGCTAAAGATAGCATAGCACGTCCACTTGTGATGTGCTAGTATCAGGAAGATGTTGGAAATGATTAGAAATTAAGACCTGGACTCTAATGGAAGTGTCACAGCTCCTTCTTGCTGTAGTTGCACTAATTAGTGGATTTTTCAAGCCCTGCATAAAGGTCATATATTTTTTCATCTCACTTCCATGGTTAGGCAATAAAAGAAAAGCTCTCTATCAAATGACGCGGAGGATACTAATGATGCTTTCCAGCCTTCGTTAATCTTGTCATGTAGCTATAGCTTGTGACTATTAGTTCTGGTCATTCTTGCTCTTTTCCTTGTAGGCAATACAGGCAGCCATCAGCCAAGCATTTAAAACTCCAGAAGTAATTAGAATGTTTGCAAAGAAACAACCAAGGCAACTGAGGACAAGGTTGGCAGAGGTGAAGGTTTCTGTTTTACTGTAAAAACTGTTTATTTGAGCTAGACTGATTTAAATATGTAACGATTGCAAGGAGAGCACCAAGTGTGTTAGAAAACTTGGTGGCAGCACCATAAGGAGATAGAGAAGTTCTCCTTCAGAATTTGTTCAGTTTTAAATGTTCCTTGAGGTAATGGGGACAACAATGTGTATTTCTTGAATTATCTTTTATCTTGCTGCATCAAAACAAAGATGTGATTAACAGATAATGAACTGAGTATAACTGTAAATAGAAAATCTGAAGAGTATGAATCTGTAATTCTGTTGAGGGACTGGAGAGTGCGCTCAGTGTTTCAGACATCTAGACTGAACTTGAGATCCAGATAAAGTGAAATGAAATGTGATTCCTCCATGTATCAGTGATATGTGAATCCATAATTTTGAATGAAGAGCAGTCTTTGATTAAAAGAGATTCAGGTTTGGAGAAAACAAGAATGCTAAGGCTAGGTGCAAAGAGTATTCGCAGAATGGTCAGAAAAACTTCACGGCCATCTTTTAAATTATGGGTAGTTCTGTCCCTTACTTCCATTGGTACCATACTTACTGATGATATTTTTAGGCTGTTGCATTGCTCATGCTGTTGTGTTGAGTGAAACTAATGGGAGGCTTATATATTTTGACTTATTTCCCCCCCCCCGGTATACAGATGGACCGAGACTTAATGGTTGGGAAGTTGGGACGAGACCTATACACACAGCAGAAAGTGGAAATCCTTACTGCCCTCAGAAAGCTTGGTGAGAAGGTAAGGTGTTGGTATGATAGTTAGGTGAATAGAAATTTCTATCTGTATATTGAAGAGGAATTTGAAATCATTAAAATAAGAAATTACAACTTTTGTTTATGAGCAAATAATAAAATGCAGCTTGCTTTTGTAGTACATAAACGTCCTTCCATTTTAATGCCAAGCTTTCTGAAACACTCACTACTGAACATGTATCAAATAGTATTGTACATTTATCTAAGGCTGTTTCTACTTTAAAATGTTTTCTTTGGTGGGTCATATGAATGAATCACATATAAGCTGGTACAAGTTGATGATATTTATAAAAGCTGTAAAACAAGTCATTTACTGGCTAACTACCACCTATCCACCTGACAGGAACCATCCAAGACTTGTGACATCCATTGAGCTTTACTTTTGTATTGGTGATAATACCTACCTCTTGGTGTAAGATAAATAAATTGGAGAGATGACTAATAAATGTGATTGTTTCCCCAGTGAGTACATCAGTGGCAGAACGATCCCTGTTTTTTACCACTAGAGGGAGGAAGAGAAGTTGTTATTTCTTCTGTTGATGGTATATGAGGAAAATGGGTTGCTGTGTATCTTTGTACTTAAACTTTCTTAGGAACTGAGGGAATGTAATGGAAAAGATCAAGTGCAGTACTTAAAGGAGCTGCGTTCCAAGTAGATGGTATTAGCAAATGCTTTCCCTCAGAATATTTTTATTGCTTGGCCGTCAGAGAAAAAAATGTTTTGGAAGTAGGTTAAAAGGCTAGTTAAGGTTGCGAACTGAATGCATGAAGATATCTAATCCTCCTGGCATGAGTTTCTTGGATTACTTCAGACAAGCCACTTTACCATGCTTTGACGTAGCCTCTTTTATCTTTTAAAATTATCAGTAGCCTGCTTCACAGAGGACTTGCTAGGATAGTAGTTTCACATCTGCTCTGAATGTGAAAAATGATGGTAAATATTATGTGTTTATCTGCACAATACTGCAAAATGTTAAGTAGTTAGATGCTTACAAAGCACAGCAGAGGCAGGTAACTAATACTTTTTCCCTCATTCCAACATCATTCTGAATGCCTGTGCCTGATTTTTATATTTTTAATAAATAAACTGACACAAACACTGTGGACAGTTTGACACACTTACGCTTTGCTTTAATAAGGATATATATCTGAGGCTACTTAAATGAGTGAGTTTTAACTTAGAATATCTGAACCTTCCAAATGTAGGTTACTACTTCATTATTGTAAATATTTTATGGGCATCTGTCACAAGGCATCAGAGCACATACATAAAAGCAAAATATACATGTGCAAATGTCACTTTAGAGGAGGAGAACCATTTCTAGGTCATTGACTCTTAACATGGTCAAAGCTGCTAATGACTGCATATTTTTTGCTTTCCTATCATATATCATATGATATATGATATCATTTATCCAGTAAATGATATGAAGTGAGCTTAGATCTTAGCTCACTACTGTATTAACCACATGACAAAAAAGTAATTGACATCCTTTGCATAGTTTTGGTACAGAGGTACAGTGTGACCTTTTCATCACAAATTATCACTGGAGGTCAGCTTGAAACTTAGCGGTGCATGTAGAGGCATGTCTGATGTTGCATATGCTGGGCTGACAGATGCCACTGAGAAAAAAATTCAGTGGTAGGGGGAGTAGCTTGCATTTTTACTTTGGCTTTTAATATGTTAGATAACACTGCCACTTAAAAATTGCAAATGGAAAATCGCTATAACCTGTCATAGTTCGTGTACATGCCCGTATAGATGGTAGGAATTACAGTGGTGGGAATATGCACAATTAAGGTACCAAGCTCACAGTTATGGCCTCTTTTGATTTAGCTCACTCCAGATGATGAGACATTCTTGTCAGCAAATGCTGGTACAGCCCTGAGCCAGTTTGAGAGAGTCTCCACTGACCTTGGTAGGTTTTCATTCTCATAACTTCCAATTTCTTTGCCTCATTGAACACTGAATAATACAAATACCTGTGATTCCCCTGTGGAAGAGAAAGTACACAAGATTCACGCCATTAAATTTTTATGTACATTTTTCTATTTTATTAACAATGAAACTCTGATACACTATCCATGAGGAAAAAGTAACACAGCAAATAAATCCAGTGCCAAATGGCCATAAAATGCCAAGTGTTGCCCATAATGCCGAAGGCTTGAATGGTCTGTCTCAAGCTACAGAGCTTACAGTTAAACACAGATCTCTCTTGCATTAGTGACTCTCTTCAGGAGAGCCTTTTTCTCTGCTGAATTCTCTGCATCAAGCAATTACTGGCACATTGTCAAAATACAGCTTTAAAGCACTCTTCTTGCCATGATTGTCATAACTCTAATCATATTGACAAGACCAAAAGTTCAGTTATAATATGCATTAAATAAGCACGACAGTTCATTCTAGCATTACAGTTACATTACAACTGTGATGAAAGAACTATGAATGGCAGGAACGTGCCAGACTAGGTCGGGGTACAAATAAACTGACTCTGTGACCTACCTCTCAGTACTCCTCTTCCTGAGAGCGTAAGCAAGGTGAGAACCTTTTGTTCAAAAAGGTACTTCATTAGCAGCTCTCTGTGTGGTGGGTTGACCTTGGCTGGCCACCAGGTGCCCACCAAGCCGCTCTCTCATCCCCTTCCTCAGCAGGACAGGGGGAGAAAATAAAATGAAAAACTCGTGAGTCGAGATAAAGGAAGTTTAATAAAGAAAAGCAAAGGCTGTGCACAGAAGCAAAGGAAAACAAAAAGATTTATTCTCTACTTCCCATCAGCAGGTGATGTCCAGCCACTTTCTGGGAAGCAGGGCCTCAGTACACGTAGCAGTTCCTTCTGAAGACAAATGCCTTAACAAATCCCCCACCCCCTCCTTTTCCCCTAGCTTTTATTGCTGAGCGTGGTGGTGTATGGTATGGAATATCCCTCTGGTAGGTTTGGGTCAGCTGTCCTGGCTATGTCCCCTCCCAACTTCTTGCCCACCCCAAGTCTACTGGCCTTCGGGGGCGAGACAGCCTCGATGCTGTGCCAGCACTGCTCAGCAGTAGCCAAAACATCGGTGTGTTATCAACACCGTTCTAGCTACAAATACAGAGCAGGGCACTATGAGAGCTGCTATGGGGAAAGTTATGCTATGGAAACTCTGTCCCAGCCAGACCCAGCCTGGTTTCAGACCTGTCAAGCCAGTATGTCTTTTTTTTTTTTTTTTAAATTAGCTCAAGTGTTCTGGTTTTCAAAATGAAGGTTTGATTTCTTTTGATCTCAAATGTTTTCCTTGATTTAAATTGTATATAAGGAAATGCACAATTTCTACTAATACTTACTGAAAACGTTTTTTCCTCTCATAGGATCAGGAGACAAAGTCTTTGCTCTAGCAAGTTTTGAAGTAGAAAAGGCGAAACAATGAAGAGGTGCGTGAGGCTTGTGTCTCTCCAGTTATCAGCAGCATTGGACTTCTGTCATATTGCATTTGTTTTTTTCTATTTTTAACATGTTGAAAAAAAGAAAAGCAAAACCAAAAAAACTGCAAACCCTAAACCTCTTGGGTTCCTAACCAGAAGATATGAAGTAAACAGCCTTAAGTGCACTTTGGAACCTTGGTGTCTGTACCCCTTAGTAACATAGGCTCTGAGGCTGAACACTAAGTGGGACTCTAAAAACAAAAGCATGGTATGACTGTCTCTGGAAAGAATCAGCTATTTTGAACTTTTCTGAATGTGTATTTCTCTAACTATTAAAACGTAATCTTTTTGCATGTGGTTGTAGCAAGCAGGTCTTTTTCAGGAGCAGTCCTAATGAGCGAGTGGGTTTTTTGGGTGATTCTTCACGTTGCTCTCAAGTTGTCTTAATTTTTGTCTGGACTTCCTACTAAGTAGTTTATACTAGGAATGCATTGAAGCTTTGCAAAATTGACATAGTTTATTTGAAATGCCATCTTTCTACAAACTGTTTGCAGAAGAACCAAGATGAGACTGTATACTGATCATTGGCCCTTAGCTGCTTGTTTGCCGTGCACATGAATGAGTGCTATTGTGTCCTAGCCTTGACTGACAAACAATGGAAGCCCTGTAGGGAGGCTTCTGGAGTAATTTAACCTTGTGTATTGAAATGACACGGAATTGCTAGGAAATGGCAACGGGAAGCCCTTTCTGCGACCTCGTACTTTAGCTCTGGGTGTATAACTACATGCTACCGTTATTTCCCAGTATTTCTGAGATAGCATGAAATAACTTGCAAGTAGAAACAAGTTTAAAAAGGGCAGAAAAGCTCTTACTACGTGATTGGTACAAGTGTTGCTCAGTCTATTTATCAGATGGTGGTGCTGTGAAGAGGGGAGGGTCTGTGCCTCCAGAGGGAAGTTAGAATCCTGAATAATCTCAGGGTGTAAGAGGATTTAAAATCTCACATTGTTGAGTTTTTAGCTCTGAGTGCAGAGAAACTATTTGGGACTCCAGATGTGTGTTTAACTTCCTGATAAACTATTTTTTGTAAAATCAATATTAGGGATCTTGGTCTTAAAGTACTGGCAGCTTCATGCTTTAATTCGGTACTTGTTAGCATTTTGTCTGAGCTGATTGGAAGCCTATATTTTACTGAGAATTTTTTCAGCTTGAGAAATGTGCATTTCAGGTCTGCTCTACCCGTGGTATATATTCACGTGCTGATCTAATGATATTGGCAACCAAAACAAAAAACCCAGGCATTTCTTAATCGAATTTCATACCTGTTCCCCTTCTTATTTTACCGCTAGCTAGAGAAAAGGATATGGATAGAAGCCAAAAACATTTCTGTGGTCATCTTAGCTATTAACAATTGTATCTTTTTCCTCTGAACAGAAGGAGGAGAAAAGCTTGACATTTCCTTATGAGTGTTGCTTTGTCTGAAACTAGAAGCAGTAAATCCTAAGTTCTTTAACACAGCATAGCTGCATGTAGACATACCTGTTCAGCTTACAGCTTCTAGCTGTTAAAATAAAAAAAGACCAAAAAAAAAAGGTTAACAAAAAAAAGTAACTTAATGCAAAAAAAAGCATTTCTGTGCAAAAAGAGTTCAAACATTAGACAGTTTTGGGTCCTTTGGACTACATGTTTTAACAGGGAGTTAGCACTTCCTTTCTTTGCAGAGCTTCAGAAGTGAAGGAAGCGTTACGAAATCTCATTGGCAAAAGGAGCATTTGGCTGTGAGTGTGTTGACGTGCTATTATTATCTGGCACCCCTCAGAGAAAGTGTGATTTGCCAGTCACAGATATAGTCAGTTCCCCTTCCCATAAGGTGGGGCAGAAATGTATCAAGAGAAGAAAGCTACCGTTTTGCTTCTTAAACTCCACAAATTATCTGTTTTTTCTAAGTGATAAATCTATTTTTCCTTAAGTGAGAGCAAAGTACAATAACCAAATGCCACAGTGGTTAATGCTAACTGTCCAGCAAATGACATTAGAAAGCGGTTAAACAGAGATCTCTACCTATATTGCTAAGGTGATAGGTGTATCTTCAGGACAAACAGATTTTGTGCTGGTTTTAGTGATTGGGTATTTTTTTGACAACGTGTCTTATTTAAGTTTTAGGCATATTTCTGAGCTGATCTGTAAAATGTGTTAACTGCCATCACAGTAAGTCTGTTGCTGGAAAGAAGAGGATGGTGATAATACTGGCAAGATCAGAAGAATTCCTAGGAAAAAAAGTGATCTTGTTTCCGTCTTGTTAGTGCTTTGAATTATAAAAATTAAGACAGACATCTACTGAAAGGATGATACTGAATTCTTTTAGAATTAGTAATGGTTTATAAACCAACTTTTACACCCAAATGTTGGGTAGAGTCGGTTCCAGTTTATGGTGGCATGACTGTTTTTGGCAACAGTGGAGTTGGACCTGCGTTCATCAGCAGTGAAGGTGACCCACTGTTTTGAGGAATCCTGTGTGTGATGGAGTAGAACATCCATGTTTTACCTATCATATATATATATCTCTCTTAGGCTTTTATAGCTAGACTTGAGCTTCAGTGAGAACTACCATTAAATTGAGTGAGTGGAGTGGAAATAGTCTTAAATTTAGATGGCCTATTGCAATGTTAATCTCAGTGTCGCATAGTAGTCACTTAAGAGACTAAGTGGGTAGCATAGACTATAAACAGAAAATTAACATGATCAGTCATAATTTAGATTGCACTTATAGGGCATAAATACCCTATAAATAAGCAAGTTCGTCTAATTGTAAACTAGGACTGGAGTAGAGTAAACCAAAAAATGTGTGTTTTTAATGTATTTTGCTTTAATAGAGATCCTTTTGAAATCTAGTCCTTTAGAAATGAAAGGATATACAGCATAGACAGCATAATTTGTGTCTTTCAGTGATGGAACTTTTTTCTCCTTTTTTTTTTTTTTAAGAAGCTTTTCTTTAGATAGGGTCTTTTGTCCATTATATCAGAACTATTTTCCTGTCTGGGGCAGTATTATGTTCGCTGACAAAGGCTGATTGCAGCTTTTTAGCTGAGAGCAGCTTATTAAAAGGTGTTATTAGACAGTCTAAAATTATTGAAAACAAAACAGTCCATGGGGACTGTAGCTGCCTTCTTTTCCCTTCTGCTCATTACTGGTGCTAAGTAACTTTCTTCCCCCAACCCCCCAACCTGCTTGCAGCATTAGTATGTAAATTAAATCTCTCAGCACTCCCACAGATCACAGTTAGTTAACAGTACAATAATATGGAAATCTTTTTCCTTGTAGTTTTAGAGAGGAGAAAACTCTTTTTTAATTGATTTGCAAATATTATAGGATTTTTTCAAACTTTCTGTACTGCGGGCAGTAGTAAAATTCTTATTAAATTCATCCTTGACTGAATATCTTTTTAATGTGCTCCTTCTGCTCTTGAAAAGATCTCTCGTGACTTAGATGGACAAAGATGAGATTGAGATCAATGACCAGTATTATTGCAAGATTCAGTATGCCAGGCTAGACTTCTCTTCTCAAAAGTTGTGAAGGGTCGGAAAGCATAGCTCTAACCCAGATACTGGATATATCCTGCAGAATGCCCTGACTATAAATGTAATTTAACAAGGAAGCTGTTGCCAATATGAAGCTATTCATATGTTGACCCTAGCAAATAGTTACTTAAGTAACCTACTTGAAGTGGTTAGATTAATTTCAGAAGCATAGTCAGTTAATTGGTGTGCTGTGCTAAATATTCTGCCAAATAATCCTGGGATGTACCTCCACTATTATCTCAAATGTTTCTGCAAGGGCTGGAAAAAAGTCCATAATCTATTATAAAAATCGTTTGCTCAAATAAAAACTGGTAACAAAAGAACACCTCCTAAATGAAAGCATGGTTTTGTGGTTTAACATACAAGCTTGTGATGTTTGAGTTCCATCCCTGGTTCAGCAGTAGACCCAGGCAGATCACTTATTCTCTACACATCTTTCTCTCCTGGAGTAAAATACAGATTATGATACTTGAATATCGAGTGCTATGAAGTTGTTATTGATCATACATTGCTTTGAAGATTAAAAGTGCTTTGGTTTTTGTTTATCATTTTACTTCTGAAATAAGAATTGTAAAGTACAGTAGCTTTAAACACATCAGCAAAGTTGCCCAGAGTTCTCTTTGGCCATATATAACCTCCCTTTTTTAATCTTCTTTCTCTATAGGGTAAATTGTGTTAGAGCATTTGAAGCTTCAATTTTCTGTCTCTTTTCTGTCTTTGTCTCCTTGTATTATTTCCCTTCTTTGATCTTGAATGGAAGAGTAACAAGTTATCTTTGTCCTATAGGAAAAATACAAGATTTCTTAAGAGATCCCTTACTTCATCATGTTACCTTGCCTGTTAAAATCAAATTCATTTTGATAGAGAATTCAGTATTAATGATACCCTACTGCCCAGGCATTTAAGGCTGTATCATTAGTGGCCGAAATGGAAGGCAAATTAAAATATAACCATTTGGTTTTGCTTCCAGTATGGCCATTCCCTTCCTATATAAGGACAAATGTAATTTTTACAGTTTAAAGAAATAAAAGTCAGCCTGCAGGCATCTTTTAGTTTCCCCACTTCCATCATTTTTACATCATCCTCACTGAGTTCTGGGGAAGTCTTTTCTATTAGGGAAGTAAACGCTTATTTCAATTCTGTCTGCTTAGCTACCCACAAGAGAGGAAAAGGAGTGCTCGTATTGGGGTTTTTCTTTAGGAGTCATGGAAAATGTGACACCTTGCCTTGCTATGAGGTTGCAGGGTTTTTTTATCTTTACCTTAATAGTGTTTTTACACCTGTGAGGGAGAGGGGAGAATTACTGGAGTTGCCCAAGATTTCTCTCCCATAACTTTTAAGCATCCAAGCTTCCCACCTCAGTCAAGCGGGAGCTGCTGGTGTTCCAAATATCTGAAAAGGTGGCCTAAAGTATCTGACAGGATAAATAAACACGTTTCAGAATAAGTAGTCTCTAAACTAAGGTCTTAAAAGAGGAAATACAGACATAAGGTTAGTGGATATAACCATATGTAAGGCATTGCTGTACGATGCACTGAAATGTCTACTGTAATTTAACACACTAATCTGTTAATGATATATTTACTAGCAGATTTCTTTTTAAAACAAGTTCTAATCATGGACATCTCTTTCTATCTTGCTATCATAATAGTTTGCTGCTTGATAATGTTTAGGATTGTGTTTTCAACGTGCCTCCAAAAATGGGTTGGTAATAATCGCAGATGTACTGAAAACCATCAGGCAGAACCACCTGCAGATCCTGCGGACAGAAGTGTTAATGTCTGGGTAAATAGCTTTTCTTTTGATTGTCCAGTTAATATCCTTGTAAGGTGGAGATTGAAATTAAGTTCTGTAATGTTGTCGTAAAAGAGTGTGCTTTGCAACTTTGTAAATACCAAATTTAATCTGGGAACACTTCTGGTTCTGAATAAAATAAGCAGCTGAGAAGGTTTCTTACCTACAAACTAAGTCTGGATTAACAAAAAAAAGATTGTCTTAGCCTTTTTTTACAAAAAAGGGCTTTTTTGCCCATCCCTCTAAAATATCTCTGCATACCTCCTCACTGCACGGTCTGTAGAAACATTAAATATTGTAACTAAGGCAGCTGAACTATTTCTTTAATTTTCTAGTGTACTCTCTCTAATCTACGCAAGTTGTGCTCGCCACTAGTGATGGAAATTTCAACTGACTGTTGTGACCCTACATCATTTATTATAGTGTCCCAGGTATGCAAAGGGTTGTTTGGTTGAACTGCATTTAATTTTCAGGAAACACTGTACTGTTTCTGCATCAGAACATGATTTTGATGGATTGGAATTGTCAGACTAAGTCTGAAATATAAAAGATTACCAAAAGAAAAAAGATTCCAAACTAAAAACAATTTCCTCATTGGGTACCATACCCATCTGTGAGAGAAACAGAGTTTTGATTATTGTTGCATGTGGTTAAATCAGATGGATAATGAAAGCAGGGCTTGTGTGTACAGATGCTGCTGGAAGCCCTTAATGAGAGGAAGATGCCAACAAATACAGAGGGACTTGGAGGGTGGAAGCAGCTGTACTGTGAAGGGATCCTAAATGAATTTCAGAGCTGATTAAGAAAGAATTGGAGATCAGAGAAGGACAGAGTGAACTGGGAGAATTTTTCTAAGTCAAGAAGGGATTCAGAGGAGGAGGTCTCATGAAGTTTTGGCTTACTAGAACGAACAGCAGCCTTATTAAACAGAAGAGATTAGAAGCTATTGAAAATAAAAATCCATTTCATCTGTTAGATTTTTATAAAACAATATCCAGTCTTTACACAATACTTGTAACAATGTTAGGAAGACTTAACCTTTAGATAATTAAACTTCCTAACATTCCCCTGCTGATGATAAGCTGTATTATTCCCATCTTGTGGTTGGGGCAAGTAGGGTGATGATTGGTAAGATAATAGATTTGATCAAGTGTAGTGCACTTGTATCTTCTGTTCACTTTGTGAAGGTCTGTGCATTCTCGTGAGACGGGAACAATATCCTAAATCTGTTGCGGAGCTGGGAGTTGAGGTCTCTTGAGCATCCATCATGTCTTATGATGATAAAAGTAACTGCTGTAATGGCAAGATGTCACCTTGCTTGATAGCTAAACATCTTGGCAAGCTTGATGGTAGCAAACTAAGGTGGGGCAGAGGCTGATTTAGACTCTGTTTTAAGAAAATAAATCTCAAGGTCTCCAAGGGTAGAGGAAGCCTTCTAGTATCTCTCTCTCCTAAACCCCTTTCTAAATAAATGCGGGATGTTAAATTAATGCTATATAAAGTTGCATTACAGTTGTACAGTCATCCAGCTAAATTAGGAGAGCTAGGCAATACTTAGGCATAAAATGGTGTTTTGCCCATGATGTTATCAGTAAGAAAATTCATACTATTGCAAAGATGCAAATGATGGCTTAATTATACGCTCCTACTAGCATAAGATGCTTTTAGATCTTTCCCTCAGACTCATGTACTGTGCTAATTAACAGTAATCCAACTGGAGGATCCCAGAGCAACGCTTCTGCATATTTTTTTCAGCTTATGCTGGAGCTCTTATGTTCTTTTCTTAAATAATTAATAATCATTACTGCCTGCTGTGCTGTGGGTATGTGCTAGTGATCTCAGATCCCAGCATATTTGCACCATTCCTGTTCCTGTCAGCAGCTTGGTTTTGCTCTTTGCATAGGCTTTCATGTTAAGACCTTCATTAACTGGCAGTGGGGTATGGATTTCAGTGGCACTGGGCTTTGATGTCATTAAGTAGCAAGCTGTTAAAGGAAGTGCCACCTATTTCATTACTGTGACTATTTTTATGCTATTAAGTTAAATACCGAGTAGAAAACAGATGCATTTTACTAAATAACACTTAGTACACAAAGCGTTTTTATCTTTAGGAATTTCATACTTACCTTGCTGACCCCAGCAACGCATATGATAGGTAAGCAGCATTACTGTTAAGCCTGGTGGGAAAGCAAAATACAGGTTAGTGATGGAGCAGGGGTGATGAACCTTTGATGCCTTCTGCCTTAATTAATTAATCAATGTCTCGCCGTGTTTGCTGTGGTTTTACTCTGCTCCCATCTGTCTAGGGGAAGGGTTACTTTATTTTTGAGTGCTTGAATGACCAAATGGATATTCATTCTAGTTGGAGGCTCTCAGTCTGGTGGGAAAGCGAAATACAGATTAGTGATGGAGCAGGGGTGATGAACCTTTGATGGCTTCTGCCTTTCTTTTTTAATTAATTTCTCGCTGTGTTTGCTGTGGTTTTACTCTGCTCCCATCTGTCTAGGGGAAGGGTTACTTTATTTTTGAGTGCTTGAATGACCAAATGGATATTCATTCTAGTTGGAGGCTCTCAGAAGATGGCATTTTCTGTATTTACTGAATTAGCTTGGGTTAAGCTGTACTGAATTTTGCATTAACTTTCCTAGCATAGTATTATTGAAAAGTGGCCACGTAACCTGTTTTAACGTTCATGTGATTTATCTGATATGGCACTGCCGGAGAAGTTGTGCTCCTGAGCCTTGCCCCGCCGAACAGGACAGCCAGAGGGAAAGCATGAGCTCACGGAGGCGCTCGGCACCGCGTCATTTCAGAGCCCGATTCAAAGGATGTTCCTTAAGGTAAGCATATGGCTAATACCAGGAACGAGACTTCGCGCCCCCTCTGCTGCCAGCGTCTTGTATGTCGCCTATCCCGATGGAGCAGCTCTATCGCCGAGGGGGGATCCGCAACCCCTAGCGGTAGCCGGCGAGTGCCGGCGGTTTGCTGCTCTGCCGGGGCGCTGGCCGCCCTCCCCGGGGAGCTGTGCTGAGGGGTCCCCGCAAGAGGGGGTGCC